TTACTACTCTATTTAAAGCATTATAGTTAGATTTATACGATCTTTTAGACCAAGCTCCATCGACTACAACGCTTATCATAGGAATCCCATCATTACTTATATCTCCGTTATCGTATGTAAGTTGTGCTTCTTCTTTGGCAACTTCTTCGGTGGCTTCCCAAGAAATACCTTTTATCTGATTTCCTACTTCTTCGTGAAGTTTTTGGTATGTAGGATTAGATATACAGGGCATATTTAATGTTGCAGCAAACAGTTCTAAACTTGAGAACCCCTAACCAGTATTTATAGTAGATGTCACTATAGCAAAATTTATTGGTAGAGGGTTATTTGAGCATTCAGATGATATAATTTCTTGTTTATTACATACTTTATATTTAAAAATAAATCTACTATAAAAAAGCCTGATCGACATTCTTTTATGAAATGTAAGTTCGAAAAATTACATCCAAATGGTTCATATTTTATGTTAGAAATTGTTTCAAAAATATATTTTATATCTACTATTCGTCTGTCATAAATGCCGTCCACTCTATAAATAATGGTAAAATATATCCCTCTTATTTTATTTTTATTATTTATTAATAATGAATAAATTAAAAATTGATAATTACTCAGAATCTAAAGATAATGTGTCATAAGCTATTATTGTAAACTGTTTATTATGTTTGTTGGAGAAAGACTCTCATTAACTACATTAGTATTTTCAATATTACTGTTTAAAATAGGTCTGCAATATAGAAATTAAATTAAGTTTTTGGAAGTAAAATATAATGATAACATTTTAAAATGTTAATTGTAGATCATAAAATATATTTACGAACAATTCAATAACTTTCTGATGCTGTATGTTATTGTTGTTTTGATGTATACCCAAAGATGACAAAGAATTAGTATTTTCCTATGAAATAAAATTACAATACTAGGATAATATATACCTAATAAATTCAAAACTATGTAAATATCGATTTTTGAAGTGAACACATTTTAAAATTATATATTTTGACTTACCGTGTTTTTATTCGATTTTTTGCTATTTTTGTATTAATAAAACATTTCCTTTATGTGTATGGTTTTTTATTCGAGATAATCTTGTTTTTTTCTTCTTCATTTTACAAATATTATTATCCATTTTTTTAAATAAAAAATACACTAGGTATTTAAAAATGTTGTTGGATAAGAAAAAAATAAACTGAACCAGATTAACAAAAGAGAGCAAAAATTATGCATAAAATAGCGTTGCAAAGCTCAATGAACAATTTTATTTTATGACTAAATGCATACGGCAGTAAATTGCTAGTTGTACACATAATATTATATTTTAGTATTTAAAATTATTATCAATAATATAATTTATATTATAAATTCAATATAATTATCGTGTATACACTAGACATCATAATATATAATATTATTCATACAAATGACTATTATAAACCGACGTTGTAGACAAATTATATATTATAGTATAGGGCAGTGGTTTTCAACCTTTTTAACAATGTAGCACACTTTTTCTTCTACAAAATTTTTGCGGCACACCAATTCATATAATACGTGAAGCATAATATATTTTTATATATAATACATATACATATATACAAAATTAATTCCATTAATAGATTTATCGCGGCACATTTCAAAGGCGCTCGTGGTACACCAGTGTGCTGCGACACATCGGTTGAAAATCACTGATATATGGGTTCATTATCCATAGAGATTCCTAGAACCAAGTTAGGAGGTGTAGTGGAAAAACGCTTTCGCACGCATAGCGCGCGTACAAGTCGTCTGAACGACGTCCCGCGTCTGACCAGAAAATGATGTATGCTAATTTGTATGTACTTTTTGTCAATCCTAGCGACAAACCTAAAAAAGCGATTAAACTTCTGAAAATTGATTTGAATTAGTTAATTTATATATACTTGAGATCGATCAGTCCACATTTTAAGTTTTTAAATCTCAATACGAAATAATCATCATTTAAAATTTTGTATATTTTTAAATATTTAAGCCAAATTTATAGGAGTTGGGGAACGAAATTTGAAAAAGTGGACTGATCGATCTCAAATAGACATAACACAAAATTCAAATCAGTTTTCAAAAGTATAATCGTATTTCTAGGTCCATCGGTATGATTGACAATAGATTGGTATATTTTCATTGAAATCACGGACATTTGCAATCCCCATAAGATTGAATTCCCTCACTGGATGTGTATTATGTTGCTTCGACAATGTCAACCTATGATTGTTGTGGTCTGGAGATATGTGAGCAGTTGCTCGGCATTGTCCCTCTAGTTTTTTTTTATAACCTGTCAAGTAGCTAAAAATTATGTATTTAATTTATAAAACTTTTTTAATAAGCTATTTTACGGTTAATACTAACATTTTATTCTCTGTTTCTTTGTTCTTGTAGTACATAAATCACAGATTATTTCTTATTATTTCTGTGCTTCTTTAAACACCTAGCACCGTGTATAATTCTGAAACAACTGGAAGCAGAGGATCTAGTATTAACAATTAAAAATTAAATATTATCTTAAAAGCATACTAAATAGCCATCTAGATTGTGAACCGATTTTAAAACATCTCTATCTGCAATATAAACTAATTAAGTGAAACACAATTATAGGTAATGATAATCAAAATTAATACATAAACTAATACCTACATCTAGACTTTCAAATTAAGTAGGATGTAAATTTACAGTTAAACATATCATTATGTTCGAAATTAGATTCATTTTGCATACCATAATTATAATCATGATTGATTACGTCTAAATAGTGGGCGAGACCGTTTTCGACCAAAAGCGTGCCCTTTCCTTTTCGGCCAATTCACTTTTCGACCAAATTTAAAAAAACACCGATTTCCTTTTTGACCAAAATCGTACTCTACCCTTTTCGGCCAAAACAAAATTGTATGTGAAAGTAGAGCAATTGTATAATTATATAATTTTGAAAATGATTAAAAGTATAAGTTGCATAAAATGTTGTGAAATAAAATGTGGACAATCATTTAAAATATAAGAATATATAATTCTTATATTTTAAATAATTTTCTACATTTTATTTTACAAAATTTTATGCATTTTAAACTTTTCATCATTTTCAAAATTATATAATTATTTAATTGCCTTAATTTTACAAAAAATATAAGCCAATTATTTTATTTTTTATATATATTGTATAAGATTTTGTTTTGGTCAAAAAGCGAATCGGCCTAAAAGAGGAGGGTACGTTTTTGGTCGAAAACGGCCATGCCCTGAATAGTTAAAAGATATAATTTTATAATTATAATTTATAATATTTTGCTATAAAACTATTTTGAAGACATATTGAACTCTTGGAAGCTAAGCTTCTATTTTTATGGTTTGGTATCCAATAATTAATAAATAATTGTCAACCATTTATCTAAATCAAATAGTAGATTGTAGTTAATAATAATTAACAAGGAGATTTTAGGAAAACCATCAAATAACTATTGGTAAAATTGTATTTGGTTATTGTTAAAACTGTTGAATATTATATTTTTATTTTATAGCGTAAAACTATTTAGAAAAGTGGTGGTTTAGTTGACAAACACATTATTTTTATGTTTTTAATCTTAGAACTGTAATGTAATAAAATAAATTATAAATACTTACCATGTTCCGGATTGATAACATAATAATTATGATCATGCAAAATATCAAAAATATCATAATCTAAACAAATATGTAAGTAATTTATTAGATTTAAAACAACAAATTATACTTTGAACTTGTATATGATAAAGGTAATACTGCCTATTTATATAATTTGTTAATTTTTGGTGTTTTTAAATTTCTTAGTACAATTTTAAAACTTGCTATTTAAGAAGATTTGAGAAGAAAATCACAACTTACCACAACTACATCTATCTTAATATATTAGATAATTATTTATTTATTTAGTATTCAAATAAAACTAAATCGGTAGATTTGTGTCAGTGATCAAAAAATAAATGTTATTTATTATGTGAAAAAAAAAATGTTCTTTTAATTCTTTTATTGAATCAAAAAATTAATAAGAAATACATTTTCTGTGGTGGTTAGTTCAATTTAAAAAATGGTTTTAAAAAGAATTTAAGTTAAAAATGTTAAACTATGTCCACTATAATATAATATTTTTTAGACAATAAAAAAATGATATTTTTATTAATAATTATTGTATTTGTACATATAGTTGTGATAATTTATAATTTACAACAATGTGTATAAAAATAAAAACAATAATTTGGGGAAATAGTATTCAAAAAGCATTAAGAATACTTAAATACTGTATTCGAGTACAGTAGAAATCACTATAACAAACATCACTTGGGACGAGATACTGCATACAACGAGCAAAACATCAAGTCCTAACACGAACCTATATGATTGTATGTTAAAATATACGTTTATAACGATAATATATTATAATATAATAGTAGACACTAGACAACTTTAGCGACAAGTATGATGAATGATGATACTACTGATAATAAGATACGATAATTAGTATTACAGCATACTAAACACAACCTGGTTGACAGCCACTGTTTCCCACGAGAACCACTAACATACTCCGTCTATGAGTATAAGGTCTATGCTAAAACTATACTGTAAGTTATATATATGTATAAAGGTGGTCTGTTCTGATAACGTGTGATGACGGACTGATAACGCGCGCATCCCGTATAGATAGAGGAGAGGTGGGAATATAAATACTTAGTGACTTAGTGACGTAGGGAGTCGAAGAGAACCGCAGTATAGGTGTGGGGATTCATGCTTAATTACTACTTTACTGTAGGGATCTGTAGAAGGCTAAATCGCTGGGGAGGGGATCAAGAACCAGCTATTTCGTACTTATACGAAATTGTATTATACATAATGCAATTTTAAATGTAGAAATGATAACAACAATCGCGCCACTGAATACTAATGTACGTGTGTGTGACTATGGACGATAAATAAAATTTTCATCGTCATAGTTTTATCAATACATGTTACTCGAACGACAGCCCGATGCCCACTCCGTAGTTGTCCACCGAGTGATTGAGGAACGAGCTCAGCGACACGGTCAGCCGATCCTCCCGCAGCCGCTTTTCCCATAAGCTGCTGACAATGCCTTTCGTGTCGATAGCGGCCCTGAACACGGACGTATCCGAAATGATGCGAAAGGCTAATCGAGAAATGACCTCTGAACAGGCCGGGTCCAGGTTGATTGTGGTGCCCGTTTGCAGCCAATCAGTGCAATGACGATAGTACGCCAGTTTGGTTGCCCCACTTGCCATATTTAACCTACCACTGACCAGGTAAGAGGGCCCTGCGTACTTGGCTACCAGTTTTGGCTGTAAATGAGATTTGTCTAAATCGCACGGAGTGTTCCTTTTGAACGCCAAAATCAAACCCAACGAAAGCTCATTTGTCACGGACTGTTGACATACACAGACGAGATAGGTAGGTAAGTGCAATACATGATAACCGTAAAAATATAAAAGAATACAATTTATTATTAGCTAGGAATTGGTCAGTTTCTATTTTTAACTTGCAATTCACTAAAGCTCATCCAAATATATTTTTGTTTTCACATGTATTTAATTTAAAAATATACACTGTTTCTTGTATCATAATAAAGGAAATGTGCATTGAACACAAATACAGTCAGTAAAAAAAAAAATTTTAAAACGAAAAAGAAATATATAACAAAATTTATTAACAGTTATGTAAATAAAAATATCCAGATATAGTTGGTATACTTCTAAATATTATTTATTTTATTATTATTTAAAAAAAGAAAGTAATAATATGTATGAAATAAGTAAAAAATAATAACTAATTATAATATAGTATAGGCATATAATTTCACAAAATATAATTATTAATACAAATTATACTGTACAATAGGTACATCTTTTACATATTTATATTATTTACGTTAAGTGTTTTAATTTTTATTCCATTTTTCCAATAAATGCTGATTACTATTATATTATACTAAAATTAAATAAATTTAATAGTAAAAACCAAATAATTATTATATAATATACTATAATAATATTCTGATTTATGACATTAAATTGTATGCATTGTTTCTTGCTCATGTTGGCACTAATAAATTAAAATCATGGATGTGGTGGATTTATCATATTATATATTATTATTAATGTATGAAATATAAATGATATAAAATTTAAAAAATAAATACTTTTACTTGTATTCAAATACTTTGTGGGTATTCATAAAATACATTTTTAAAGTATTTTTAATACTTTTTTATCCGAATAGTAGTAATAACTCAATATTTTTTCAAAAATATTTTTTACAAGCCTGATAATATTATAGAGTAACTTGAAGTTTAATGGCGCACTTTTTATTTAACAATAGTTATGTGGTAATATATACAAGTGTTTGTCATATTGTGATGTTATTATTCTATAATACATATACCGTAAATTACAATTTTCGAGTCAAAAGTTGATTTTACCAAAACAAATACCAAAAATTCTAAACAATTAGAAATTTTAATTAATGAGTCTTTTTAACTCGTGGATGGGGTAAAAGTGCCCACCTAGTGTGGTGCAAAGGCGCATGCTAAATTAATTCATAAAAATCTATTTTATTTATCTAAAATTGATTATGATTTTATTTGTTATTATCAAATTAAATAAATGTAGGTAGAACAAATAAAATTAAAACAACTTTTTAATTTAGGTATAGCATAATATCACTTCAAAAAAATAAAATTAATACAATAACAACTTTATATATATATATATAATATATATTATATATCAAGCAGAAAATAAACAACTGTCAACTAGTAAATATAATAAACATCTTGTAATGAAAAATATAATTAAACAATGTAGATATTCATTTTGAAGCTATAAAAATAAAATGTTTATAAAATTATACTTTTATTATTACCTATAGGTATCGGATAAGAAATACTGCAAACTTTTACCATATTCAATAAGCCATTTAACTCCAATATGATTTTTTGCATAAATAAAAATGTAGTAAATTAAGTTGTTATTATATCAATATTTTACAAGTATTGACGTATAGTCTCCTAATTTTACTATACGAAAATAAATAAAAGCAATACCTAACGTGTCGTTAATTAGTAGATATTTATTACTACTTCTATTCTATTAAAATTTAACATCAATACTCTAACCTCATATTGACGTCAAAACTTCACTAACTGTTGAAGAAAATGTTTTATCATGTTTATCTATGATAGTTAAATCATAATAACAAAATAGCTTAACCAGATGGCAAATATTAAATTATTTATACGTAATAGTTCATTTTGCCTCATGCGCCATTATACTCCAGGTTACTCTACTTGTCTATTGAGTTTTCCTTCCGTGAACTAAAGTACTAGACAAATCACATTCATTTAAATAGAAATGTTTAAAAAATGATAGGTTCCTGTCTTAAAGTTTTAAGTTCTCTTGCTTTTGCTAATAAAGCCAATCAAAATAAAAAAATTGTATTTTTATTTATTTTTATTATTCACTACTCGTGCAGACAAGTCATGTAACAAACTAAGTCTATATGCATTCAAGTCCTTAAAAATACGATATGTTTATCCACGGACTTAAATTTAATGTCGGAGTATAAATAGATTTGTACAGTAAACATTTACCAAAACATATAATATTACAATATGTTAACTTTACTTGTAAAATTTGAAAGGAACAGTCTTTCAATACTGGATCGATTGACAAGGACAGAGTACGGTCCGGAAACCAGTAGTCTAAATTGATTGCACATTTGATCGGACTACACCATCTGCACACCTGTCCGGCCAAGGACACGTCCAACCAGTTTTTATAAATTTCCATTCGACTGATCGCTTCAAAACTCCATTTACCCGACTTGGGGTTGAAGTCAGTCATGACGGACGCGTCCAGACCCTGCCATTCCGTTACTTTGTAAAAACTCGAAATCCACATGCCACTTGGCTTGGGGCCGCCGGTGTTTACTTTAAACATCGACGTGATTGGTAACCCCAGTCCAATCGTCTTAGCCAGCAGGTGAATCCTACATCCAATAAATGGGGTAGGCATTAAGCAGTTCACCGACCGGAATATGTCTCTTATCAATCCAGTCGGTGGTGAAAAAATGGACTGGCAATCGTCATTATTATCCATCATATTCGCTGTGGTATGTTATTATGAATGTCGCTGAACTACGGGAACACGTCACGAGATGCTGCGGTATGGTATTTAAGTACGTATTAATAAATAATAATAAGTTAAATAAAACTTATGTAACTGTGTCTTGAAAATTTTGATTGGTTTGTGCTGTAGGCTCTACTCTATTTCTGTTCCGACATCTATTGATGAACTGAAAGAAAATCTAACTGTAATTATTACAATTTTGTCTTATTAAACTAAAATATGTAACCATGACAATGTATATTGGCTAACAAGTTTGTTAATTTCACAAAACATACACACATAGAAAAATGTAGTCGTTAAAACCATAGATTAAATATATTTAATATACTTAATATTAAGAATATTAAGAATATTTTATCCTTTATAGATGCTATTAGAAAAATATTTACATTTCAAAATGTCCCAGAACAAGAAATAATCAACTCAATAAAATTACATTTGGCACAAGCAAAGGCCCGTTCTTGAAAAAAAAAAAAATAATTATAAAAAAAAGAGATTAAATTTAATCTCATTATTATAATAGTTATATTAATATTATATATCTTATGATATAATATTGTAATTATTTATTATCAATTATATTCAAATATTTTATAATATATTAGTATAATATTACCTATAATATACATATATTATTTTTCTCTTTCTATTAAATAAAACACTAATTTTAGGTACGTATTATTATACGTAGTTATTGTGTACATATTTTGTAAATTTTAGTATTTTACCTAATACTTATTGATAATATAATGTTATTTACCTATGTACTTCTTTATTATTAAAATTTAAATGTTAATTGATATTCAGAATCTTTTATATTTGATATTTTTTTTTATACCTATATAATTTACTTAGAACTCGATAGAACTCTCAAATTTAGAATTCCAATATTTTACATAGGAAAAATATCTAAGGTACTTTTAAAAATTAATTTTTTTCCCAAAACTTTAATAAATCGAATAAATTAAATTAAACATAGCTTGTTTGTCATTGAAGTATTTGTAAATTTCCATACTGCACTATGATAATATTAAAACACCTAATCTTAGTGCTTGGTAACTGCTTCATGCACTGATCAGTAAATATTAAATACGGCAACTACCAGTTGGCATTGAATTATTTAACATTAATAGCTAACATGACAAATTAATGAGCTTTAATAGTTTATTAAAAAACATTGAAACATTCATATTATGAACCTCCCTATTGGCTATTACATGTATAAACATATAATAAATTAGCTGGTAGGTATAATATATGTTGTACAGTAAGTTATAGTATACTGCATATATGATACCTTGTAAGTTGTAACCTATAATTAATATAAGCAATATTTATAAAATTTATCCTAGTAATAAATTTATAATATTTTAGAAAAATGTATTATACCAGCATCATTTAAAAGAAAAATGTTTTTTAAATATATTTAAAAAAAAATATTGTTAAAAACATTATTTTGCTGGCCAAAAAATGTTTTAAAAATGTTTTGTAAGACATTTAAAGACGTCTTGACAACGTAATAAAAACCATTTATAAATATTTTCGTTTCTTAAAAAACGTTTTGAAAATATATTAAAAATAATAATTTGCTGTATAGGCCAACGCTCCATCCTATATCTCTAATTAATTTTTTAAGCAAGTGAACGACACTAATGTCACCCGATAAAAGTGTTTTGTTAGCTAGTCGGCTGTATTTTTAAAGACTGGGGGACACAAAATTTATAAAAGAATTTTTATTCTATGTAAAAAAAAAAAAAATTAGGTATAATAAATATGTATAATAAAATGTTCATATTGTCGTCTATCGATATTAAATACGAAACGCATTTATTATTGTATAGAATATGAAAAAATAAGATACCTAAAGAGAAAAAAGCTTTAAGTAGTCGCTTACACATACATTTGAGGTTAAATATAGTGAAAATATTTCAGTATTAATGTTAATATATTGTTTTGCAAATATTGTAAAACGACAAACGATTTGGAAAGAAGATCCGGTGTAATACAGTACTTGAAAACAATAAAACATATGCGTTCTATTAAACGAAAAGAAGATCAAAACAATACCAAGTGCTAACAACTATTAACACATGAGCTCTCGCTTAAAAAACCAAAGTTTAACATGGATTTATGTAAAGCTTTATTCTCGGCTATTATACCACTTAATAAACTATCGAACTTAGTTTCCGAAATTTTTAAAAGTTTACTGTGGAAAAGATATTTCTACAGAGTACTTTGAAAATTCTATTTAGATCACTGTTACAACCGAATGATGGAAAAAATTAGACGACGAGTTTTTGACCAAAGAATCTGGGTGTTACTTGATGAAATTACCGATGCAGTTGGTGCAGAAGGTCGGTACCTATATAGCAAATGTAATAATGATTTTGGAAGAAAATGCTGGAAAGTTTTTTTACTGATTACTGAAGCACTAGAAAAGACCAATATCTCTACGCGTTAGTACATTTTTTGACAAATCTTTATGCATTTTATGGCCTAATGGGATAAGAGTGATAAGACACAACAACGTTTTATTATTTTTATCAAACACAGCGCATTATGTGATAAAAATTGAGAAATATTTAAATGCATTGTACCTACTCTAAAATGTTATACGTGATTTGTACTGCTCGTAGCCTTCGTAGAGTTCCGGAAAAAGTACGAGTTCAATTTGGTATTATTGATGAAATCGTAGCTAATATAAAAAAATTATTCAAAAAGCACCATCGCGTGTACAGATTTTCAAAAATTACGCACTAAATATAATTTTACCTCTAGAATCTATTATTAATCCGTTGGGTACTTGGATTCACGCAGTGCTTAACTATTGTAGATACTATGAACAAATTCATGGTATTGTGAACATGTTAAATCCTAGTGATGCTTTATGTATTAAACTTTCAAAAATAAATTTGGTGAAACAAATTTCCAAAATAATTTAAACTTTAAAATACTTTTTGAATCAATTTTGAATTTACATACTAAAAACATGCTATTATAGTATAATCTTTAAGTATCATGGACAACATTAAAACACAGTTAAAATCCGTTCAAGGTGTTGCAGGAAAAAAAGTATATAAAAAATATTGGAAAATGTCTTTCCAAAAAATATAGGTTTAAAAACATTAACACAAACCTCATCTATACTAAACGAATCTATCACCAACATGTATAATCTTCCCGAATATATGACAACAAATTATTTTACTTTCTAAGTAAACACCTATTACGTCGATAGACGTTGAAAGATCTTTTTCTATTCATAAAAATCTCTTGAGCTACAACAGACGGTTATTTAAACTTTAAAACATAAAAAATACATCTAATGTAATTCAGGTAAATATATAATAACATGATTTAATACATATAAATTTTTTACATTTAAGATTCTGAATAATTTAAAAATATTTTAAAATCTAAAAGTCGGGTATAAGAAATTATACCTAAATTTGTTCCTAATTTATTTACCAATTTTTTTTTAAAGTAATTATTCATTTTTTAAGATTATTTATTTAAAAAAATAAATACTGCATAATATTATATATTTAAGCTTTTTTAATGTATATTCATTATTTTTTAGAACATAAAGTTCCGAGCTCTGGACTTATGATCTTCGAACAAGATTAACTGTTGAATATATTTCGATACTGTTCAAGTGTACAAAAAAAACGACGTAAGCAAATCACTATTTTCATAGTAGGTACATACTACATATTATATTATATAAATTAAACCAAATATTGTTTTAAACAGATAAAATTATTCTATAGTACATAATAGAAGAGTAGAGAGAATAAATCTGTTTACATTTTCAACTATTTTACATAACAAAAACTATTTAATTTCAAAAGTATACTTTTTGTTTTTACTAATAAATTTATACCCATCATTAGATCTTTTATCGTATTTCAATAAAAAAAATTGCGTATCTTATGTCTAACTTAAATATAACTATAACCAATTCAGATAAAATTTGTATCCTTTAAGTGATTATTTACTGTACTTACCTTATGATTATCCCAATGGATGAACGTACGGGTAAACATTAAAAGACTATTTCATAGTTTCAATCTATTTAAATTATTATTATTTGTAATATTTATTAGTTATAAAAATATTTAGTACATTTCGTGAACATTTTTAAAAATTAGCAGATTTGCAAAAAAAAATGTTTCTTTAAAACGCTTGTTATATTGTGAACTTTAAATAAACTCACTGACGTTTCTTAGTTATTATTTATATAGTAGTACTACCAAAAAGGAATAGATGAATAAAATCTAGTATAAAGTTTATATTTTGTTGTTAAAATTAAAATGTGTTTGATAAAGAAGCCAAAATTGGAGAGTGACTGTAATTAAATTTTACTTTAAAAATAACCAAAAGTCAAAACCCTTACAAGTATACACCATGTGAAAATATCAATAAAAATATACATTCTTTTATCAACAAAATAAATATGTAAAACTTATATGCACACAATAACTTTTTTCAATAATTGAGGATGACTGCAGTAGAAGTAAAAAAGTATTTCAGTAATTTTCAATTGGGAAATTCACCAAAAACATGGCAACAATAAAAATCGGGCCAAGAACGTTTTATTGACTTGCTCTTCTACCGATTTAAAACACTTTAGCTTCAAAAATTACATTTTATGATGGTGTCATCACTGAGTTATCTGTATTCAAATCACAAATAATAACATTTTAAATTATATACAAACTACTTAAACAAATTATTATTATAAATACGTTTATTTTATTTTACTACGTCATATAATATTCGTCAGTATGTATATCTAAACATAATAACAAACTGATGTTTATAGTAAAACAAGACGTTTTTCATAATATAAAAAATCTTAAGCTATTACTTGTATTTTCAGATAGATTTGAATTTACATTGAATGTTTTTATTTCTCGTATTTTCGTAGTATATCTTTCTTAAATGTCTTCGCAGCCAATAAAAAAAAAATAGCTCGAGAACGTAAACTTTTGCAAGACAACTGTCGATAAGTTGCACAGAAGAAAAATAACTTTTCTGAAAATATGGTGCTTTGGACCGTAACATAAACATATGTGTGTGTGTGTGTGTGTACTGTATACTGAAGGATTGCTACGAATTGTTTTGTCTGAACAAAGAAAACCGAAATGTTATTCATTTGAACAAATAAAAAAATGTCCCGTATATTGTAATTTTACTTTTGTAAATAAAGCTTATATTTTCTTACACTCGAACAGCAGTGGATATATCCTACTGTAAACATTCATGTTATTATCCATCCCAACTTAGTTCAATTGCTTTGGCGAATATTTAATGATTTACATGGTATATTATCGAAATATTATTTTTAATAGAAAAACTTTAATGAAAATTGTTTAAAAAAAGAATTTCACAAGAGGTTCAGACGTAGCAAATTAAATAGGTATTTGTGAATTGTGGGCGTTTACATGTTTATCATGTAGGGACGTTGGTTATGAAAAAAGTGGTCAAAATTATTTTTCAAACTCGGTATTCAAATATAGATGAAGTGAATGGAATTCTTGACCTAATAATTATTTGATAATAGTTAATTATTGTTATTATTTTTTTTTTTTTACTTATACGTATATACTTAAATTTTAAATGTGTGTCAACATGATAATGGCATTAACATAATTTTAGCTTACAGAAAAAAAACAGAACGATAATAACTACACTATCATTTAGAGTAAAACTAATAGGTGATATCGAGAAAAAAATACGTTTTTCACATAGCCGAAAAAACTTCATTTATACATTAATAAATAATACAACGAAATGTAATCAATGTTTTCAAGCATAATAACTTTTGTTGTTTATTTTTTTTATTTAATTTAACACAATTATAATACACTTATTTTTTTTTATGCATGAGTACATTATCAACATGGCGTACGATTAAGCTTGGTCCTCTACAAATGTTTGTTTTCCATTAATGTGAAAACAACAGTAAAGCAACCTACTCTCCGCGACACTAATTTCAACTACATATTAATTAACGTTTATTAATTAATATTAATTGTTCGATCGCGTCTTTACTTTAATAGAATAATATAATGTTAAAAATTAAATAGTTAAGAGTAAAAACAATATAAAACATATAAGATAAAAAAAAAAATAATACGTTAAATAGGGTAAAAAAAAAATATAATATTAACTGTCATATCCGTGTACAATCAGCTCGAATAACCACAAGTAGTCAACTACATAATAATATTATAATATAGTAGTAATCTTCGATAGATTATTAAAATTATTGTTTGAAATTGAATATTCCCTTGTGGAATGATAGGAATTAAAAACCCTTTAATTGAAAAAATTAAGTATGACTAGTGAATGTCATGAGCGATTTTTTTTTAAGAAAAAAAAAATGTTAAATTTACATAAAAAAAATAATCAAGAAAATTGTCCTGTTCTGAACACTTTTTGATGTCTACAGGTTACGGATTTCGAATATATGGTCTGCACTTCAGCGCCGTTGTGCGATAATTGGCTGTCTCGCTGTTTAGATAAACGATCGTTAAACATCTAAATCAAATCGAGAGCTCAACTGTCAAAATGTAGTAACTCTCCGGAGCTTTAAGCTAAGGTTGGATCTTCTCTTGGGCTTGTTTTTTTGCAAAAGACTATCAGTGGACTGGTAGTCGTCCAACGGATAGTCCACAAATCCACTTTCCGGTCTGAACAACGGTAACGCATCTGAATCGGGTTGTAACTCGAACCATCTAGACAACTTGGAACCAGGACTTAACTGTAAGGGAGAAACAAAAATAAATCAAATAAATAAACATATTATATAAGAAACTTTATGTTCAAAAATACGATTATACAAGGAAACATCAAACAACTTTGTTTAAATTTAAAGCGCAATGCATGGAGGTTGCGTATGATTTGTGTAGCAGGGGACCCATAGTCGCGAGCTATACTCGACATGTTAATCAAAAAGCGTTTTATAATTGTACGTAATTTTTGAAATAAAAATGAACACTGCACACTGCAGTGCGAGGAACAGTTCGTGTGCGTATGCATAAAATAAATACAGGAATGAGCATACTTGAAAATAGCCATTAGATTTATCTCTATTATAACGTATACGAAACCATAAAATGCCAATGAATGGCTTCAAAATCAATATTATAAATTATGGCTGTTTAATAAGATAACGATAATGAGAAAATACAATTATATGTTTATACACATTTATGGAAAGAGTGGTATTTAATTAAATGCAATTTAAACTGTTTTGAAAACCAAAAATACTAAATTTGTAGATTTGAAATTGATTTTTTTTTTTTAATAAAACACACACACACATACAACTCTATTTATATTTATGAGCTTACCTCAAGTTAAATAAACATAAACAATTTAAAAGGTAACTAGAAAGATGTCCGCAATCAAACAAATATCTATATTGTACCTGTGTTTTCATTCAAAAAATGTTTATACAAAGTACAATTATTCAAATAACAAAAAAAAAATAAAAATACAACAATACAAATATTAAATTTATTTAAAAAATAATATACTCTTCAATTCATATTTATAATCATATACATGGCTTAACATAGATAATAACAACAATACATTTCCATTAGGATTAAAACATTAATAAAATAGTCAGTCTGTTGTAGAGTGCATATGACTTCATTTGATTATAGTTCGTACAAACATTGACGATACATTAAATTGTACCAATTATATTAAAAAGGCGCAATTGCTGTTAACTGATGAATAAAACGTTTATTGCAATATATTTCGTAAACTATCACACATTATATAGATACCCAATTCTTCGGTGTAATGCATTCCAATCGTTATTTTCGATTTCGCACTACACGTAAGGCGTAAGTAAATGTGCCATACGTTTTTTTCATAGTATAATATTATAATGCTATGACATCAAATATCGATTGAATCGAATTTGTCGATAAGCATTCGTTATACGGAATAAAAAAATTATGGAAATAGACACTGATCAGAACCCAGACGTCCCGAAAGTAATATTATGGTATGGTGGGTATAGCAAAATAAAACAATTTAATTTCAACATAACATAACCAAGACAAACAATTGATAATTCATTTTTATATCAAAATTTTTATTTTATGTTTTATTATAAAAATTCAACAGTCACGAATTGGCGGTAGACATAGCGGGAAATAGTAATAATAATATATTATAATACATGACAAAAACGTTATATCGGTTTCGTCGGAATAACAATAATAATATGATATCGTCGATGACATTACAAAACATTTTCGCGACCGGATAAATACTACATTGTAATGTTGCGTGTGAAGTCTTATGACCGTGATAATAACAATATTATAATTATATTATTATACTGCCCCGCGAAAATCGACGTTGCCAATACCCCGTTCACATTCATATATTATGTAAAAATTTAACATCTACATTCGCAAATAAATATATATATATATATAAATATACATGTAGGGTGATTTTTTGATCATTCATTATTTAAAAACTAAAAATGTTCGTAAAAATTATATTTTTTACTACTTTTGAAGTTTTTGTACGATAACATACATTTTTAATTTCACATAGAAGAATATTATTCGGTGTACATTTATATCTAGAGATCAAAATGTTGATCCATTACTTCGCCCGTCTAAACTGATAAATTACTACTCATATATGCATAATATATTATTATTACTCGCCCAAAATCCGTTTCTTACACACCGAAATACTCTGAATAATATTTTGCTTTGGAATACGAAATTAAAAATGGTATGTCGTTGCACAAAACTATAACGATAAAAAATAGTAAAAAAATAACTATTTTTCACGACATTTTTGTCTTTTTACACAGTCGCGTAAGATAAATATTTTCATAAACGTTCTTTATTGTTTTTGAAATAACGAGTGGTTCGACGATAAAAAAAATCGCCCCTGGAGAGAGGGAGGGTGAAACACATATACGCACTTACACAACGGCTTACGCGACAAACGGTAAAATCTGACCTAAGCTCGACATGATTCATTGTATTGTTGTACGCTTCGTAAGGATAGAAGTGCATATGCACTCACACACGAGTGTGTATATATATATATAGATTATTATTGTATCGCACTCGGCCGGCGAACAAAACACATTTACAACGTGCACGGATTTCCCGGACGGATCTATTTCGTGGTGTGCCGGGCCCAGGTCGTCCGGTGCACTTGGCTCATCAGATTGCTCTTGTTGGGCACCTTTTCACTGGTCGACCTCGTTATCGGGCCGTTGCCCACCGCGGACGCTGTCTTTTTGGAGGCCGCTCGATTGGCACCACTGCTCGGCGACGGCGACGCCGACGACGACGACACCTTCAGCAACGATTTTTGCTGCTTGCCGGGCGGTGGCGGCGACAGCACCGTCGACGGTTCCGGCGGTTCCGGGTGGTGCGGCGATGGCGGCGACGGTTCGCCGGCGGTCCGGTCGTCGACCACCACCACGGTCACCTGCCGGTCGTCCGACAGCGGTTTGATGATGCCGTCGTTCGCGGCACCGCAACAGTCGACGGTGGACGCGGACCGGCCGGCCACCGGCGACGCCGAGTACGACGACTGCGGTAGAGGTCTGCAGTTGATGTGCGTCGGCGACGTGGACGGCTGCTGCTGGTGCGCGGACGGGGCGTACAGCTGGTGCGATTGGTACGCCGCGGGTCGCTGCTGTTGGTACGGGCCCGCGGCGGACGCGCTGTTCGCCGCTATCGTACCGGTCAGCGACTGGAGCCGCTGCAGCAGCTGGGCTTGAAACTGTTGGTCGACCGTCGGCGCGGGCTGACTGAAGTTGAAGTCGAAGTTCATGGGCATGTGGTACGCCGGGGCCCTGTGCCGGGGCGACGGCGGCGGCAATTCCGGCAGGTACGACGCCGGCGCGGACGACGGCGTCGGCAAGTCACACATCATGGGATGCTGTGGATAGCACCAAACAACAAAAACAAAAATTACGACTTGTCACGCACGTCTGTGTAAAACTAATAATAATAATAAATGGTCTACAATTAACTACCTAACTTATAATGACAAAATACTAAACTATTATTATATCAATAAAATGCGTTAAAATACAAAACTCAACGTACCGGGCGTTCAGGATATCCTGGACAGGTTATTTATTATATTTGTCAATTTATCGGAAAAACGGTTAAGTACGTCAAACGGTGTATAGTAGTCGGCTGCGTTAGAATAAAAAAAAAATTTAAAAAAAAACATCAAACCGTGTAAAAAACACAACAGCAACAAATAACAATAACAACAACAACAACAACAAAACACCTGCAACGCGTTATAAGTTTGCGCGTATTATATTATACAGGTAGGCAAAACTACACGAGATTCACTATAATATTAATATACTGTTAGTCGAAAAACGCGCCGCGTGACTGCACGCGTTATGTTACGTTATACACACCCACACAAATCATACGCACGCGCGTCCAATCATGTTAGTAGCGTCCAACTGCAAAAATGAATGATTTTTAACGGCACCGATAACACGGTTAGGTGTATATTGGCTAACCGAGGCGGGAACATGGCCAAACGCATCGAAGTCGCGCGGGCGCACTTACCGGGGGAAGCGAATGGTGTTGCATTTCACTTCTGATCCTTTCCTGGTCGTGCAGCAACGACACCAACGAGGCGATGTGATCCAGCAGTTCCTTGTTGTGCACCAAAAGCTGGTGTGTTCTCGCCTGCGAAAAAAAACGCAAATCGAGTTACAGAGAGTGATTTTTTACTATTTTCGTTATTATTAATTGTAGAATAGAAATAATAGTAGTAGTAGTAGTAATAGAAATAGTAGTAGTGGCGGCTGCACTTCTGCAGGCGAAATAGGACTCAAAACGATAAGCAAATATTGTAAACGACAGTGCCTTTGAAGCTGATGGCATCAGGAACGGAACGAAGTAATCATCAAAGGCGAGTGAACGAACGTTGCGGAGTCAACCGAAAAAACTTATTACGCTTATGACAGCGCATGGAATTAAAATTGAAATCGTGTGTAATACAGAGACACGATAAATGGTGCAGAACATACTTTCTTCGGATACAGCCGATTTTGAAAGTAAATTTATGGAATTGGAGCCGTGTTAATAAAATTGTAAGTCTTTGAAATGAATGTTGATAAACGATGACAGTCCAGCGGGAAAGCAAAGCAAAGTTCTCCCACAGGTCGACGATTTCACGATTAAAAAATAATAATAATAAAGTAGAAGTAGTTGTATCATCGTTGAAGCGACGTACGGTGGACCACGTTGGCCGACGTCTAGTCACGTTAATTATAGCACAGTTGGTTCACGCTAATAATGCATTATTATTATTATAGCCGAGACGAGACCGTCGTACGGAATTACAAATTAACGAATTTTCTCTATATTCTATAGACTATAGACCATATCCACAGTACAAGATTAATATTTGATTATTATACATACACAGTCGAGATTTACCTAGCAGTTTTATGAATAATATTTGATTTCCACGTGAATCAAGATGCGTATCGAATAGATAATAAATTATTATTATTATTATTATTATTATTATTATTATCATTAAGAAATAACAATCAAGATCAGCAATTAAATAATTTAATAATGTATTTAGTACCTTTATAGTTAACAAAAAAAATGACATATCATTTTTTCCTAGTGAATTTTGCTTAGCAATGAAATAATATTAGCTCGTTTCGTCGCAAATACGGTATTATTGTTTATAATATAAAGCAAAATGTGTTTTAAATTTGGCGTGTGATCAGATAATAAGAAATTTTGCGAAGTTTATTACGATCGTTTGAAACGAGTGCCAAAATATTAACCGTGCATTCAACAACTATTTATGGCGTGAAATCATTTGATTTCGTTATGTTGTGTGATGGGTCAATTTTAACATAATGACTGATGTACCTGAGCTTCCATCCTGGCGGTTGTTTCGGCCGCCAACTGGTCCCTGAGCATGTGCACTTGAGCCACTGCAGCTTGTGTCTGATGCGTTTGCTGGTCTAGTTGCTGGCGCAATAATTGCATTTCATGTTGTACGCTCAAAGAGGACAACGGGACACCGTCGCTTTTTGACGTTTCAGTCATTGGGGAGCTAAATACTTCACTGCCGTTCTGTGCAAAATAATAATAAAAAAAAAAAAAAATGATAAATTAATAAAATGAATCACGTGTACTGTTAATATCAATAGAGTACCATTGGCGAGGAACGTCTGTGGTTGACTGACGAAGCCGATGGAGGTGGAATGATATCTAGTCGTAAAGGTCGTTGTGTTTCATTGGGGCCTCCGTCCCTTCTAGCTCCGTCCAATGATGAAACAGAATCGTTTCCGACAGATGTTTCCAGTCTACCTTGGTTTTCGAATGTGTCTAAAATTATAAAAACAGTATAATTTAATTATATAACACAGATTTCTAACAAGAAAATCCAGTTTAACTAAAACTATTCATATAGTTTAATATTATGGAAATAATACTTATTAACATTTAACACTTATTACTTTATCAAGTAAATTTATTTTTACATTTTTTTCTTGTGTTTCAAGTACAATATAATATGTGATAAAAAATTAAAAATTATTTATCGATTTAAGTCTCAATGACTGAAAACAATCAAGTAATCTTATAAAACTCCGCAATAATAACTAGTCATAAAAAATTAAAAAGTAATTTTACCGAGTGCCAATATAATAATAATAATATATTTTGTCACAATGGCAGTAAAATTTGTTCCAAAAAATAAAAAATAATAATAACCCAGTCTGTCCCACGGTTTGTCGAACGAAGTATAGTTATACATTCGGATTGCAAGGCGTAAATTTAAAATATTGCACAACTGAAGTAGATTTTATGTCACAACGATGACGTCGAGTCATATGTGCGAGGCAAAGAGCCAATTAGTTTGACGTCAAATATTCAGGGACTAGAATAGAACAGTATGCTGCCCACGTGCCATTCGGACGGGGAGGGGGGGAAGAAAAAAATCAGATCCCATACAACTGGCACGGGGCTAAAGAAAAATAAAGAATAGTAAAAAGTATAATGATGTATACATATACGTTTGTGTACTGAATTTTTTACACCACTGCAGTGTGCGCACTACCGTTTCACTGTTATCCGTTTGTTAATCGGCGCCATAGAAGTTTGTTTCTTCCCGTCTTTTCCGGTTCACGGTCTCGAAATGACATATTAGAAATATATCGTTGTTTAAACAACGACTTACTGATAGTTATGACAATGAAGTATGAACACGATATTATGTAACATTGTAAAAGAGAATTATCGCGACAATGAATTACGAATTTTCATGGGCGAGGAGGAGGAAGGGAGACTTTTTCTGATACCGCGTGTTTACTTGAGTGTTGATACAATTATATAGATACACGATTCAATATAGTTTTGAGAGTGGGTGTGTGTTTTTAACGACGTGAACAATTTTACGATAAGAACTTATCGATGTTGTAGTTTGAGCTTATCAACCTCGTTACTCGAACCGTTTAGTGACAGTAGTAGTTTCAGTATCTAAGATTAATTCCAAAACAAATTTGCACGTCAATCTTGATTACAGTAAACCGTCTAATGATGTACGCCATAATGTACAGTCAGCAAAGACATAAACTGATAGGAGGCATTGATCCACCCTCTACCACCATGACCATACACACAAACATAAACCTCCATTTTTTCTAAGAAACTGATATTAATTTGAAAATTGAACTAGTGATTTTACCGAGAATTGTAACAAATAAGTAATCTATTAAAATAAAATAAAATATTTAATAATATGTGATACCTAATAATCATTAAAAATATACGATAAAAATATTTTCATGATTTATTGATGTATATATATATATATATACTTTTAATTTTTAAATGAATAGCCGCCCCTCACTTAGTTCATTCTGGGCTATTGCGTAACTATATCTAAATATGAAATTATGTAAATTATATTATTAACTTTGTATTACATTATTATACGTCTAATATTGATATCGCTACAAGTAATATAATATATAACTTTGTGAACATCACAGGCGCTAAGTTAAAAATCAAACGACCCAAAATTATTATTTCAAGTCCTTGCCAATAAGATGTGAGCGTGCGTCTAGAAAGGGTGAATTATATAGTATATATATATATATGTATATATATATATATCGTTTTACGAGATATAACGATAGCACAAGTCATCGCCAATCTGACCGAGTGAGTCAACTCGTTATTTTTCAGATTTTTAATTTCCCCAGACGACGCGCGACGCGGCCGATAGTCGACGATACATCTTTTTTTTTAACAGTGTTTTTCGTATATGAACGATCTACGACTGATTTGATTTACACAAAATTCGAAATAAAAATTGTATAGTTTTATGACTTGATACCTCTTCCGCCAGAATGAACACTACCGCTCCCCGACAATACAAACGTAGTAACAAAACTAAGGCTCGTGGGAGGGGGGGTGTGGATTTAAGCAATCATACTCTCTCCCCTGGAAATATTCTCTAAAATGAGTACTTATCCACACTTCATTATTTCATTCGAATTGAAATTTATTCAATATTAGTAAGTAGCTCGTGTTACTAATAAAATATTGGATGTGTAGATACATCAAAAGACACGGCACGATGCTGTACAATTGTACAATATCATACGGTATATAATTCGTTGAATATAGATTGTGGATTTGGGACGAAATTACAATTATAAGGGAATAAGTAAAATTGACCGCTTTTCAATTATAAGGCTGTTCTGCAAGAAAAATGTAATATGTAGTATTTGTTATTAAAACATTTAATTTTTGTATTTTTTCTTATCAAATTAGAACCAATACAGAAATGAGAGGTTTTTTGTCGAAAAACATCATTTTGACTTATTAACCAATTCACACCAGTACACCCACCTAAATAAATTATAATATTATTAATCAATAGAGATACATATTTCATATTGAAGTTGTGTTATAATATTGTGCTGAGCTTTTTCGCCGCCGAATCAAGCACAAAAGCCATATATGACAATAATTTTATTAATCGCGATCGCATACAGGTGATTTATTGAGGAAACTTGTCCTTTATCCTAGGTCAAAAGCTTCAAATTCTGTTTTCATATACGTGTACTTATCTTAATTCTCTTGAAACTATTGATGTCTCTAAATCGAAATTTGGACGATGAGTAGGTATATAATACTGTTTTTGAGTTACTTTAACATTTAATCGTATCAAGGATGATACCTATATGACATGGAAAGCACGGTTGGTCAATTACCCTATGTAAAATAATAAAAATTACAATAATAATAATAATAGAAATATATCATTTTACCGGGGCCGCCACCGCGTAGGTATTCATGAAAAGTGTGTGAAAAATCCTACACACACAGCAGACCGCGTTGCGCTTGTAATTATCATTATTATTATCATCATTGTTGTTGCGTGTACTATTATAGATAGTAATAATATAACGTATAATAACGGCCGCCGTTGTGTACCGTACTCGTGTTTTACCAGGGCCAATTGTTTTCGTTGACCGGGGAACAAAAGAGCCATCGGTAGGCACGTTGTAATAAATTAGACGGATCCGTCGTGCACAAAAGTCACCATTGTGTCTTCGTCGGATGCTACCTAAAGCCGGTTTTGTAGGAGTCACTTATTATTATTTTATACGCTGTCGTCGTTGCTGTAGCCTAGCGAACCCGTCACCGCCACCACCGAGAGTGCGGCAGTGCGATCGCACGATTTATCATTATCATTTTAATGTTATTACTTATTACCGTTGAGCGGGGCGAGAGAAGAAAAACGTCGACGACAAATCGTCCGTGTTCCGCCGGGTCGTGGCCCGAGACCGCCGAATATAGCGGCGCGGGAAAAATGAAGGCCCGCCGAGGAAACACGCGCGTTTGGCAACCGTCACGAGAATGTGATTCTTTTATACCTCGTCGGCCCGTGACAGACGTCAACTTTTATGAAGGATTTGCGTGTGTATGCGTGTGTCCCTAAGTCCGGCAGGTCGGGCTGGTGCTAGGCCAAAATACATTCGATTCCCGCGAAGGCTACGGTATATGCGTTGATATCACGCACCGTTTTTTTGGTATTTTTTTTTTTTCGAAAATCCGAGACCCAATATGGCGATCGACATTTTACCGATTCGCATTCAAAAATAGCCCGCCGGTCACTCGCTTTTGCGGGTGGGCACAAACTGTGTGCGTGGCGTTCGTATCACTGCTCTTTGCGATGGTGCATTACCTACTACGTGAGATGATTAATATCCCATCCTCGTCTTGATGATGGGTCTAACGGTCCGCGAGTTAACGATAATCGCCATTCTTTTTTTCCCGTTTCAATGGCCCGCGGTAATAACGTCTAAACAAGGTCGTCGAGTAATTATTATTGAAATAATTGTTATCAAAAAGATTCTTGGCATCAAGTCGTGTGTTCAATTTAAACCCGAAACGGTTTAAGAAATATTTTCTCGTTAAAAACATAAGATTGACGAGTAATTTTCGACTTTTTGAGAAATGACATGTTTTCTACGAAAAAATGCATAAACATACAATTTCTCGATAAACGTCGAGACGTAGAACTTTCAAATTGATTTTTCTTGTAACTCTTTTCTTTTATTTATAAATAGTTTCAATACAAACCGTCTATTCAGAGAAAATAGAAATATTTTCAGTATACTTAAACATCATTCTACGTTTCCACTTAAGCTCCAAATATTTTTATACTAACACAACCAATATATTGTATAAAAGAATTGTTTCCAAGAATATTTTAAAACAAGATTCCCAACCACAGTACCACGAAATTATTCAGGTGTGCCGTATAATTTTCGTCTTATATGTGCACTAAATATAATATAATCAAAATTATAATTTATATTTATTATAGCATTGACTTCGAAATTCCCTTGAAAATAAAAATTGATAAAATGTCTCAATAAAACAGCTTTAATATTATTTATTGGATAATTTTCGATACGGGTATTACAAGCAATTGCTTTGTCTATTGCCACATACTATGATAATTAGGGCTAGGGACTTCATGCCCTAAAAAACCTTAAAATATGCATGCATTTATGCTCTAAAGAATCATTAAATATGCCATTAAAATATGCATTTAAAAAAAATATATTTATATATTATGTTATATAAATAGAATTATGTAGACTAATTTGATTAATTTTCTGGGATAATTATTTTCCTTTTTTTAGATTTGTTTTCATCTTACATCGAGTTTTAGTCTAAAACAAATTTTTTTAAACAAAACTAATCAAACTTAATCTACGAGTATATAAAATTAAGTTTTTTTTGAGCCTGATTCATATAGGTTTCAACTGTTACACCCCAAATAGAGGAATTATGTAAAAAATACCAGTCTCAAATATATCACATTAAATGTTTAGCATTTAATAAAAAAATATATTATTTATAAATATCATATCATATATAGTTATAGTGTGCCGTGAATTTTTTTAAAATGATCAAGTATGCCGTTAAGTAAAAAAAGTTGAGGATCCCTGTTCTAAAATGTATTTTATTGTATAATTCTATAATGTTATTCAATTTTAATTTATACCTAATATAATATTGCGTTGCCTGTTTGTCCAAATATTTGAAACTATACAAACAAGACAGTTTTGTATTCATAATTTATTCTACTTCACGAAAGATAACACACACAAGCACACTACACACAAAGTATCTCTAATTATTACACCTTGTAAGTGCAATTTTTTTTTAAAAATTAATTAATAAATTACAATTTATTTTATTGAATTTATAAGCAGCATTAGTACAAACATATGTTACTTGAAAATTTTCATTGATGTACTTTGTAGTTGAACTATGTTAATAACATTAAATAATACACTATTAAACTTTATTCTAAAATATATTTCGTTACATCTCCCATTATATTATAATCATATAAATATCATATTACTTAATGTTAAAATAAAAGCAATTTGCCCGTTAAGGACTCGTCTATAAAGATAAAGAGTAATGAAATATTAGATTTAAAATATTTTTCACGATTTAATCGTTTGCACATCTTGATATTAAATTGTGTTTTTTAAAGACTTGCACGTTTGATAATTAACTTAATGTCGGAGGTAATAGGAATACAACATATATATATCTAAAATTTTATCTACGTCCGTTTTTAATGATGTTTTCTCTTTAATGATTATAACTATCTCGACACAATAAAAAAAAAGAAAATTCATATGACTACAGTGAAACTTCCGAATACCATACACTCTCGATGACCAATAAATTTTATCCACATTTCGGAGGTAATTACTATTCAAAGGTAATAAATGTTTAAAATGTATAAAGAATAAATGTATACGATGATACATATTAAGTTAAATAAAATAAAATAAAATTTTATTTTTAAATGTAATTACAAGTTATTTAAAATTAATTGCATTTAAAAATGTTGATAGTCATTAATGTCAAAAAAAAAATTAACCTGTGCATACACAAATATTCAATTCCGTGAGAAAATATAAGTCAATTTGGTCTGCTTATAATGTTACTGTCTTCGAAGAATCTCGTGAGTAAGTTCATTTGCCAAGGTTACAGTATAAGAGAAAATAGAATTATCTTTACTAACGAAATTTAACCTACGAAATGTTCAGTACGTTCTATGCAGTAGATAGTGAATCTCGTAAAGTTGTAATGTGAAATTTTGAAACTTCTACTTACTTGAGCCAGTTTAGTTTCATTAATGTATAGTCTGCAACCAGTTTATTTCCATTATATCTAGTACGAGTGCATTTTACTGATACCGTTTTTTATTTATTTTTAAATTAAAATTTATATATAAATGTCCATTTACTCGGAAAGTCCACCATTAGAAGGTTCCCCTATTGAAAAAATATAAAAATGTACTCGTTTTCAAAAAAAAAACCGTAGTTATTAAGAGAAATATGATGATTCATCATTGATAACACTACTGATTTGAAATTAAATAGCTGGTATTTTTTTATTTTTTTTATTTCTTAGTTAAAATAAATATTTACAATAGATACACATTTGACTATATTGTATCGAATAGTATTATACAATTAGAATTTTAAACTTGTCGGAGAATTACTCGAAATAGATATGGACAATTTATTTTTAAAAACTTGATTAGAATAATACTAATAGAGACGAAGTAGTCTAGTATCAACTATGGAAAGTAATGTCTTGTAAGACCATTAACTTTTCCGTGCACCTACTGTCGTTTGATATCATCCTGAGATCATTATGAATTGTGTAGTTGTTAAACATTAAACATTACGAACTCGTGAAGCTAAACACAAATATATTTCTATGCTCATGGTGTAAATAATTCATGTTCGATAAATTTTAACTTGGTACACAAATAAAAAACATAAAACAACTCAAATCATAAATATAACTTTATTATACTCGCTTATATAAAGTGTTTATTAAAAAATAAAAACGACATAGGTAGGTACTAATAAAATCGTTCTACGCACATACATTTATTTACTTTTCAATACGTTCATAATATGGGCACTTATACGTGCATCATATTATACTATCGTCTATCAACCGGAAAAAAAGGTATAGGTAGTACCATTATGGCATTATGAACTACCATCTGCTTCAATGAATATTGCGAACGGAAATAAACAGAACGGTCGTATTTATAGACATTTTTTAACCCATTCGAGGAAATACATATAACAATATTGAAAACTGTACATTATACATGCTCAATACTTACGAGTATCGTACATAGTTTAAGGATCGGGTGTTCCGATCATTGTGTATATAAATAAAATGTGTACGCACAGCAGTAAACGGAGTAGAAAGAATACGATGGCGGGGAAGAGAGAGAGAGAGGGGGGAGGAGGGAACAAAGATGTTTGATAAAGAGAACCTATGCTGGAATTGTTTAGGCGATAAATTAACGTATTTCAAGCGCATAGGTCACGTTAAAAATATGTTAAAGGGTAACCAATACGCATTGCCAAGACGTGTGTTCGTGGCGCACCAGTAACACGCATAATATACTCGGTACATTGTATACAAGCGCGCGGCTAGGTGCGGATAAGTCGCTCGATTTACAATTATTATTATTATTATTATTATTATTTTAAACAGTATCGTTAAATACGGTCCTAGTCGCGTGCGCGCATGTGTGTGTGTATGTGTATTGTAAAGCCGTTCGTTTAAAAACGAATAACGAACGGACGAAGAGTGAAAAAAAAAGCAGTAACAGACCCGGTAAAACATTTTTGGACGTAATCCCAGAAGCGGAGATCCGGACGTCTAAATTTAACGTGGTGACAATGACAGTTTTCTTGCAAAACGCCGACAAACCCGTCTCCGCACAGTTTTTCCGCCGTCTCGTAACGATTTGTGCTTTTACGTTATTTTGTTATTTATTTTTATTTTCATCGTAATACGCGTAGTCTAAGACGAATGTATAACATTATTCGCAATGATCGCTTGTTCTTACCTCGTTTCGACGCGGAACCGTCGTCCACCTCGTCGTCTTCGTCGCCCGAATCGTCTCCTCGGTGATCGTCGTCGTCGTCGTCGTCGTCGTCGCAGTCGTCGTCGTCATCGTCGTCGTCGCGACGTCTGAACGACGTCGACCCGTCCTCGTCGTCCCTGTCACCGCCGTCTTCGGACGGGTTGACTCTGTGGCACACTTCGAACGCTTGGCCCACCGTCCGCACCACTCGCATCGCTTGGCTCTGAAACACGCACAAGCACGGCGTATAATGGATTTTCTAAAAACGACGAGATAAACGAAAACCCCACCGAAAAAAAAAAACAAAAAAACAGAATGATGTAATGAAAGCAATAATAATCGTGACGACGGTAACAGTGGTAAAGGGATTGAACGAGAGGTGGTGGTCGTCGCCGTTACCTGCAGTTCTTCGTCCAGTTCGAATTCGTCTGCCTTGTTCAGTACCACCCGTGGCTTGCCCCGGGGCACCACTTCGGGCTCCCGAAACGACAATTTCTTCCGGGGCGCTTGCCGCGGGTGTTCCGGTTTCGGCGGCGACGGCGCGTTCGCAGTCTTCCTCATGCTAACCATGTAATACGCGCAACGGGCGAGATTTTTTTCCGCGCCACACGTTTGATATTGCTGCTGTCGCGGTGGTGCGCGCTTCGGCGAGGACAGCCGAGAATAAAATCCGATGGCGCGAATTACGCGCGCGCCAGCAATTTTATAATTTTATGATTTTTTTTTTATTTCTCGTCGTAAGCGTTCGTGTTATGATGGCGAGCGCGCGCACGCTCGTGTCCACGTATATACTGCTATAGGGTGGTGCGCGTGACACAGCGCGCGTGTATGCGTCTTACGCGCGCGTGTGAACGTGTAGGTCGGTCGGCCGGCCGTCGCGTCCCGACGCTATCTGACGACACACCGGGGGGGGCCCCAGACGGATTCCTCCCCACCCCGCCGAATCGAGACGCGCTCGTCGGATCCTTGGCGCCGTGCCTAATTACGCGTCCCCCCGTCCAGCTCGCGGCGTACCTATTTGTCAATGTATAATACTATAATAATAATAATAATAAAGTATTATAACATTTATTATAATATGTGTTTTATGTATACCCCCTCATAAACGGATAACGCTCGATGACGTGGAGGAAGGGAGAGGGATAGCGATGCACCGGGGCCTCAAGGTTGAGATTGTTTTTAGACGCTTTGGGTCCGTGTCCTCCGTGTTTTCTAACTTTGAGAGGAAATAAATCATTAACAATATTAAATATTGATCGATAAAAAAAAAAAGTTAAAAAATAACCAGCATCTGTTAATGCGAGACTTTATTACATGGACTTGGTTTAATCCTGTGCTCTTGTGACTCGATTTACGAGATACCTAATTGAAATGTTCTCGTTTTCAATAAGCCTCGAAAAACATATATAATTAACGTATGTATATGCACATTTATAACGAGCAATTTATACTCCTCTCAGGACTGTAATCCGCGGCACAGATCGCGTGTTTAGTATTATTTAATATTATGTCGGCTTTAGACGAGTAACAAAAGTGTGTATATGTGTGTGTGTGTAGGGGCGGATTGGCAAAGTTTTCCTGCCCGGGAAATAAGAATCAAACCGGCTTATATATCGCGAATGTAATACCCCCTCTATATTTCTCCTCACCAAAAATACATTATTTTGCTTAAATTTCAAAATTTGTTTAGTTCCCTCTCTAAATTAGTAAAATATATTATAACATTTTGTATGATATTTAAACTTCAATCTAATTTTTTAAATCTTTTGTCAAAATACATTTTATTTCTCTAACTGCATATGTGTTATATTGTCTTTATTGTATAAAAACAATTGATAATTTCCTTCACATTCTTCAATTTTTAGTTTTTTAATTTTCAAAAATGAAGATTTAAAAAAAAAATAGGTATACACTACACTATCTAGATACTACAAATGCCAATTTCCCATATATATTTAATATGCGAATTGATATACAGTATAGAAGGAGGAACGTTACTTATATAAATGCTAAAAATAATTAATTTCATTTTATAGATAGTTTTTAACATCACATTTTTTTGAGTATGATTTAATTTTACATGAATTTAAATGTATAACTAACTGAATTCTACCCACAATGCGATTCTTTGAGCAATATCAGCAGTACTTCACACCACACCAGTATAATCATATTCTAGAAATTAAAATATTTTACAAAACATTAGTAAACAAGTTGATATTAACTAGTATAAATAACAAAATAATACCTACATATTTATTATTTTTAATATTTTATGCTTCTTTATGAAGATATAACTTTGTTTTGTAATTATATAATAATATAGCGTGACCCATTCAATAACTGGCCTATCGGGAAGATTCCTGAATACCCCATAGATCAATCCACCCCTGAATAAATAAATAAATAGGGTATGTGTGTAAGTGTATTAATAAATTATTCGAGAAGTTAATGTTTTGTTTTGCATACAAATAAAATGACGATAATACAGTTCTAGATGAATTATTGAAAAGTGGAATCTGAGCTTGTGTTTTTTCTTATATTTCTTATTCATGCCAAAAATACTTTATACACTAACGCGTTAATTTTAATATTTTACATCCAAATCTAAAGATCTTCGATATTCAAGAAGCTATACCTAGCTAAAGATTGATTTGCAAGCTATAATAGGTATTTAGCAATATAAAAAATATAGGATATCAAGTTGTCTCATAATGAGTTATTTTATGATCAGTTTAAAGTGAATTCGTTTTGTATGTATAAAAATATCAAATATGAAAAGGAAAATTGACTACATCAATCAAGATATCTTAAAATTATATTCAAATGACTTTTCAAATATACTTTACATGACTAGAGTGTGTGAGTGTTGATATATATATATTTATATACTATTAATAAATTAATTAGTTATTATATGGAGTGTGAAGTTGCGTCAGATAAAATTGATTTAATTTATATAATTTAATTATATTTCACTGAAAAAATTATAAACATTGATGATGCGGCGAAGAAAATTTATTATTTTTTGTATTTTTCCTAGCGATTTTCTGCCAAAATATATTTTGCACGTAAAACACAAAAAAAATAATGAGAAATTATACAAAACATATCGAAATCTGTGAGTTTACTTCACCCTTTGTCCACTAACCTTTAAGTGACCATAAAAAATGAATGGCGTTTTTTAAACATAATGTCCTTTATCCCGGCAAAATCCGAACGGGACGCTTTTTGTCCATTTTTAATCCATATCATTAATACTAATAGATATTTGTGTGAATGTAAAACTACCTGTACACGAATTCACTGTTTTTTATTGAGTTGTTATTAAAACTTAAGTTAAAAGATTTAGTTTATAAGCTATAGTTTTTGTGTAACGAACATGGAATGACATACAGTCGTCATCAATAATTATGAAACATGTATTTTATTGGAGTATTGCACAGTATAATATTTTGAACCCCAGCAACAAGGGTGATCTTTACCATAAAAAAAAAAAAAAACCACTAAAATATAATTAAAAACAAAAATTCTTATATTTTGGAGTTCTTTTTTAAGTTGAGCCAAAATCGTTTGTCCCGTTATTTTAAAATAGTATGGTCATTGGTCGGTCACCCCATACTACGCCCGCGTAGTTTGAACGTATAATGAAAATACCTACTGTTTAATATTAATAAGTGCATAATAATATGATGAATATCTCAATTTATTCTCCTCAAAAATTTATTCAACTCATTATATTATAATATATAATAGTATAATAGTAGTATACTACTGTAGAACGATAATTATATCTGAATGGAATTAAAGATATATCGGTGAAAAATTATACAAAAAAATATATTTTTATGCTCCGACCTATTAATTGTTTTTTTCATAACTTAATTTAAATATAATAAAAATGTATAATATAATACAATCATAATTCATATTATTTGACAAAAAATATTAATAGTCATATTATAAAACCCCTTTCCTCTAGATTAGTTTGATTTTTACTCAATAGTACCTATATTATTTTACATGGATTCTATCTTCCATGAAATATGGTTAACAAATAAATTGAGATCAGAATTTTAAAAATTAAATTTATTTTTAAATATTATAATAAATAAGTATTACTTGTAAATAGTATTTACCTATGTAAATATGATAAATTAAATATAAATATTTCATTTATAACACAATTTTATTATTTAGGTAATTTTTACACTAGTATATGAGAAAATTTAACATCGCATGGTTTTATACTTTACCAAAGATTTAGTTTGCTTAAGATAATTTAAAAGAGGTTTTTAGTCTATTCATAATTTACGTGGGTTTGCTTAGTTTCAAAGACGAGACGAGACAAGACAAGACAAGAAACTATAAGATGAATAATTTATTACAATAACATAAGATATAGGTACGCCAAGTTAAATATACATATATACTATATAAATGATAATATTATATTTACTTTACTTTATCTTTTTAATTAATAAATAAACACCCAACAATTTGGGCTCAGAATAGTTTTTTTTTCCAATTAGTATAAACATTATATAATACATAACAACACATGCTCATTTAAATAACAATAATTAATAAATTTAAAATTTAATATTTTAAAATTCAATAGTTAATATTACCGTTTACAGTTAAATTAATGATTTTAACCTAGCTAGCTAAGTTGTCATCGAAAAAATAAAAATTATCTATTATATTATAGCTGACAATAGCATTTTGTTGATAAATGCGAATTTAATGTAATTTTGGCACTAAATGAGTAAATAGAACATTTACTATATGATGAATAATATTTCTCTACCATATATTTCAATTCATAACAAATTTACAAAATCTTTTTTTGTGTTCTTAGATTGAATATGATTTCAAAAAATTCCTATCTATATAATACAATGTTGATAGTACTTATTATAGAATTACTTATAACATTTGAATTGGATATCAAAATAATATTTATATTATATGAAATATAAAATAAATAATGTAAGATAATATTTTTTACATGGTTATTTTTCAAAACAAAAATTAAATATTAAAAGAACAGTTAAACATTAAATTTCTTATTTTACTCATTCAACCTTATCATCTACGTATACAATAAAACCAAAACAACAAGTTTTGATTTTTAGTCAATTTATCACGAAAACGCCTAAACTGTTAAGTGATTTTTGACATACGTGATGTAGTTAGTATGACAAAGAGAAAAAGTGCACAACGATGCATCAATCAGCAATTGTCATGAAGGTTTTATTTCCTTAGGGAAAAAATACATATATTACTGAACTATTTTTAACCATCTGTGTTTTGATTTCAACCATTTTTTACCAGTTTATGTCCTTGTATTACAAATTTAAACTTGAATCCTTCACTCTAAAAAAAAAATGTGTAAATAGATTTTATTTTTATTAAGAAATGGAGTCCTATTTAAATATTTTTGATTTTTAATTCAGTAAAATGCCTAAATAATATTTAAATATTATAAATACACTATAGAAAATCAGAATATAGAGCTTTTTTTACTTAAAGATTGAACTTAATACGATAATATAATGTAGAACAAACATATTGAATCTTAATACAATAAATCTATTTTTGGCCAGTAAAAAATATGTTTTTGATTCAAAATGAAAATTTTAATTGTCTATGTATAATATTTTTCTATTATAAATGACAATAATTGAAAAAATTCAAATCATCAAAATATTAATCTAAACATTTAGTTATTTATTTTTTTTTTTTTTACAGTAGTCTAATTGAACTCTAAATTGGTTGCTAACCCACGAATTTATCTATTGTTAAGAGATGACGAATACGAGCCGTCAACTATGAAGGCGCAAGTGATAGATACGTAAAGATAAGTATATATTTTTTATTCATATAATGCACAAGTATTGTGCGTGTATTAGAGTATGTAAACAAAAATTAACGATTATGCCTTAGTTCAATAGTAATTATGAAAGGATTAACACTATAAATCTCTTTGATCGTCAATCATTCACGTAAAGTACACAACATTTGGCAACGTATGTTATAAGTACGCGTAGAGAGAACCCTGCATCATAATTATTAATTTAAAAAATATGTATTTTCAAAATATTTTAACAAAAATAAATTTTAATTCTTCGTGTATTAATAACGAAAATAAATTCTGAAATACTTCGATGACATAATAGCTGAGAAAAGTTGTTTTCTCGAGTATAACATATAAAAATTAAAAAGTATCAATGTCAAATTTTTTTTTCTATATTTTATCGTATTGCAATTGCGCATTAGAAAAACTGTCACATTTTTACTTTAAGATAATATCAACGCCTACGAATTATAGAAAAACGTCGCGAAAAAATAGCATGCTTTAACGCATGCGCTAAGTAGATTTCATCGGATTTTTCTATAGTACGAGGGTGGATGAAATAAATGGTTTTCGGAATTAACTACATGATATGTAAATACGATATGATGCATATCATATTATATCATATTATTTTTTTTCCTTATTCATTTTCATTACAACTTGTCTCAAAAATAAATCCATATAAACCTTATTCGATTTTATCCATATTTTTTTGGTTTGATATTTATTTAATTTTTTTTTATAATAGTATAATTGAATATATCTTTGTAAAATCAATATTAGGTACGCACCTTTTTATTTGCCTTGAACACATTACACTTGAACACGTTAGTGGAACCATCTCTAGCTATGTAACTGAATATTTTCATGTCTTGAGAATCGTGAGAAACGTAAAATATTCTAAAATTCAAAACAACGTCATATTATAAACATAATTTAACAAAATCGGTAATAAATAAACAATTTGGTAAAAAAAAATTGAAAATTAAAAATAAGTTCAAATTAGCTGTTTAAGAGTGAACAAACAGTTTTTATCTGAGACTTTAAAACCCACCGCATACTTTGATGTATGACAGACTTAACAGCTTACCTATAAATAGGATGTTGCATTAGAAGCAGGTTATTCTCGTCCGTCCATTGTTTTTTCTATAATAACACCACAAAAATATTATTTAACTATTGGAATTTTGTAAAAAAAAGAAAATAAACATAATTTTTATGATATTAATATTGAAAGATTAGCATAAACAGTTGTTTTCAAAAACATCTCTGAGTTCAGTTTATTTGTATTTTCTCCTTAACATTGTAATATAAACAAAATGTTTAAAATGTGTACAAAATAATCAAATTGATTATAGACCGTTTAATTTAAATTTTTGTTATTTTAAACTCAATAATAATTAATATTCAAAATGCGTTTTTTTTTATTATTATTATTCAAACACGTTTGCATATTAATTGATTTAATTTATAATTTAATTAATGGCATAAAATAATTTAAATTATTTGTTTTTCTACTAATAACATTATTGTCTAAAAAACAAGTATCTATTGTTATCTACTGTTTCACGTTTAAAGCTGTAATATTAGTAAAATATTATTTTACTCTGAATACCTACGTGAAGTTAAAATATTTAATGAATACCTGAACTTAAGAAGTATAAATTAAAGTATCATAATTATTACAGTTAAATAAATCAGTTTAAAAAAACAATAATTTTAAACAAAATATTTTTAAATTATAAATTAACTATAATAGTAGATACAACAAATTTCAAATCAATTTAAATTTGTAACTAAAAATTTAAAAACAATATGTTATAAATTATACTATCAAGTTGTATTATAATACCATACATATTCTAAGATTCTGTTGCAATAAAAGTAACAGTATGTTAAAGCAATATATAATAAACTTCATAGTTTACATGTTAAAAGGTTTTAACCGAAATAAATATAAATTATAATAAAGGAACTTGGTATACCTAAAGAAAAAATTATTTTGTATAAACTATATATTGAATAATATCATTTAAAATTACTCTCTTTTTAAGTAAAGCAATTTATAGTCAAAAAACCACGATGAATAATTTTCAAAATAATAGACCATAATGTACATTTTTATACTTTTTTTTTTTTAATGTAATAAATTCAATTTATATATGAATTGATCACTAAACAAAACGTATTTTATAAAAATTAATTTGAAACACTCATTATATGACAAATTATATTTATTACTCATTCTAAAAAAATATTATTTAGGTACTAAGATTTTTCTACACTTAAATTCAAAGTTATGTGTCTTGTGATTCAATAATAGATAACAAAACGAAATTTAAAATTTTATTCGATTGTTTTTAAATAATCGTAAAGTAAAAAGTTATGAACTGGAAAAGTGATGTTTTAAATATACATATAATTAAATATACTTTTGAATAATTCATATGATAAATAAAAAATGAATAATAGATAAAAACCATTTCACTCACCTTTTTTTTCTTCCTTAAAGTAATACGGACCCCTTCAACAGAAACTTCTATGGATACTTTTTTCTTCTTTATGCCTTTAGCTTTAAATTCATACTATAGATATAAAATAATAAAATTTAATTAGGTCAATCAATCAATTGTTATGTTAATGGATACTAATAATAAATCAATGGTAAAAATGTAAAATAAAATGGCATTAATTTATACCATAGAAAAACAAATAAAAAGTTTCAACATAAAATACAATTTCTGGTAAGCATATTTTAATGAAAATTTAGAATTACTGGAAGTGCCTAAGTCTTTAGAGGGAAACATCTATAAAACACTTACTCTAATCCGCCTCATGGCTGCCACTATTTCGACCCGATTCACTGGCCTGGGAACATCCAGAGATCCAATGAACTGTAACATATACAAATACGAATTTATTATACATTAATAAATTAATGAATTTCTTTATCTAATTGAAAGTTAGAAACATATAACTTCGTAACACATATAAATAATTAAATTTTTAAACTATAATTAATTACTTGTTAAAATATACATTATATACTCCCATTGAATAAAAATATATTCGACGATTATCAGCACAATTAACCAGTAACTAAAGTAAAAAAAAAAAAATAACTAGAGTAATATGTAATAATAATAAACTCTTAAATATACAGGATTGGAATAAATTTTTTATAAATTATTGAAAAATTAAGCTATTATAAGCTATTGTCATCCTAAATCTCATACCTACATATAGCATTATAGAAAACAAAAATATCATCATTCTTATTACTGATACCACTAATAACTCAAAATATTAAAATAGGTAATAAAAATCATTGTACTAAATAAAATTTTGCTTACAAATGATTTTTATCTATTATCTGGAATAGGTAAATATAATACTTAGCCTACCATTACCCAATAGCTTAATGAAACGAAATGAGTAAAAATAAAATATTATTTTATAAATTACCAAAAGTGTAGAAATTTAAATATAAATATTAAATATAGTCTGTAAGCTGTTAGATAATTTTTCGGAAGTTAGATCAAAATTTTGTAATAAATAATAAAGTTAAATATTCATTGGTAATTAGGTATATAATAATTTTATCATAATAGGCCGTAATCTGTATTTTTTAATCGAAAAACGAATCAGTGGAACGTTAGCTACAAAACTACACTAAAAGTATAGTACTACAATTATAAGTATTTTATACATTGAAAATTATAATTTATTATAGTTTAAATAAAACACTTTAAATACAAAGCACTATAACATAATTTACATAATGTTTATATTGATTTTATTACATTTATATATTAAAATATGATCTAATTCAGATAATGCAAACTTACAAAGTATACAAAATGTACTTTCTGTTAAATGAAAACTATAGGAAATAATATAAGTTAATACAATGTAGCACTATTGTCTATTTTAATGCATAAATTGATTTTAATTTGTATTAATTATTAGCAAATACTTTTACGCTATTTTCTTTCTTTTAAAGTGATTGTAATTTTAACTATTATAGTTTATTGTCTTACACAATAAATAAAATAAAATCTATTATTATAATAGACATTAATAGCGTAATATTACCGCTTATTTCAATACTAAAAGATCAAAATGAATAATTATTTACCATACAATTTTAATTTAATTATGAAGTTAAAATATTACACATATTTACGCCATTATATATTTACTAGTTACTTGTTAATTATAGGTTCATGAATAAACGTGAATTTGTCGTTGATGTAGAAAGTTTATTATTAAAATCTATTATAAGTAAAATCTGATGATAAAAGAAAATGTAGTTTAAATATGTTTGGAAGTGGGTAGCTATAGTTAAGAATTTAAGATACATAAACTGTGTGTTACGTACCCGTCTCGCTTCGCTTATCTAAACTATTATTATAATAATAACAAAAAAGATAAATCTTTACATTCGAAAAACGATTTTAAATAACTTCGCTAACACGAGCAGACATATTTTTTTTTTAACTGTAGGTAATATTAACATTTTTTTTTCCGTTTCTCATAATAAATTAAACTACTAGAAAAATAAAAAACGACCTCATTAAACTACAATCAATGTAACATTTTTAGTTGATTGACAGAACTGTATAAAACATTTAGAATAATTTCACTATCTCAGAGTCATCTAACAGTTGATTTTTTTTTTTTTTTTTAAGAACACTATACCATAAAAATTTAGACTAATGACCTCATTTTAATTAGAATCTAAATCTATCAATTTATTAGCTTATATCATAACTATCAATGTCAAAAACTAATAATTTAAATTATGCTTAAATAGATTGTATTATTAATCATATCGTACGAGAATGAGTTTGAAAAAACTCATTGATAGATATTAGTTGTGAAAATGTTATTTTATTATTTCCATGTGGCAAAATATAAAAAAAAATATATTGAATACAATGTATTAGGATTTTATATGAGTATATTGATTTTACTAAAAACATTATTTCGGTTTATCTACATAAAAAATTAATCATCGATAGCTTTAAATGTAATACGTTATATATTATAATTTTTACATTCCTATAAAATTTGAAAATAAATAACTTTAGCTTTATTATTAATATGAAAGGTAGTTTTTATTCATATTGTACCATATTTTTAAATCTATATGAAGTTTAAAAGTTATGTAATAGTTTTTTTATAAAGATTAACGACATACATGTTTTATTTAATAATATAAATAATACGTGGTTTATGGTTTATCATTATATATGCAACTCAATAATAAATAAAAGTTAAAAATAAAAAATAAATGAAAATATATTTACCTAGTCTTGTTGTGTAAAATAAATAATAATTATTACTTATAAATTATAATATAAACCGACATGCCAACTCCATTACCTTTCTCGAAATGTTAAATATTAATAATTATATCTAGTAGAAAACATATAAGGACGACGATTTATAATGAAAATTACAAACATTTATTATACACCGTATATACTCGTAATATTATAATCGATAACTTTAAAAATCAGTTATATTATTATAACATTTCCATAATAGACACTTAGATTAAATATTTATAACATTGAAAACAAAATTATGAATAGATATAAAAACAATATTTTTGTTCAAATAACACCCGAAATAAACTTTAAACTTCGAATGGTATCATAATTGTTATTATTATATTATAGCCTTATGCAATATGGTCAATATGTCACAGACTATAACGTTATATTACTTTCAAATGGTGCTCTCTATTCAAGTCTGAAAATGTAAGCAAAATATGTAATTTCACACATTGTAACAGAAAAGAGAAAAATATTTTCTTATACCGTTGAGATGTAATATATATATACATAAAAAATATGATGACTGAAGTAACTTAACAAGAAATGATAACTTATAATGTATTGTATTGATATTGTTAAAGCACCTGATTATGATTTAATGTGAAAACATATACATACTCACGGTTCACCTACAAATCACAATATAAAGTTATACACCAATTCGAGAACGATAATAATCAGAGCACGTTATTTGAAAGTCATTTTTTCTACCCCAGAATGCACACTGCCTGGTATTACGTGATATGTGATATTTTAGACAACTTGATCTATGTAATTTATGGTTAATGTTTTATTTTCTTCAACTGTAAAGTACTTAATAAAAGTCCAATAAATCATTATCACATCAAAATTCCTCCAGAATCTAACTAAAAAAAATTTCACATATAGCACTATAGAAATATATTTATAAAAAAAATCGACAAAATTCAATAGTTTTTTGAAAACAGTTCATTAATTATGTTAATGTTTTGTTACTCAATAAAACAGTGAAATTTTTATAACTAATGCGTGTGAATGGGTACACACCACAATTTAAAAACTTCCGATTTAATACTTTGTGTATATATTTTTAGATAGGTATGGATAAATACCTATACTTAATTTAATTAAGACCAAAACGTATAAATATTTTTATAATTACGTTTTTAAATCTGTTTTATGTCTTAACTTTTTGATAGGTAGTAGATACAGTAATTCACAGCTTTTTCACGTTATACACTAACAACGTTGGTCGATTAGATTTAAATCGTACAAAAACGTTTTTCAAATAAATTCTATTGGCAAACAATTGCGAACGTTTTGACTATTATGCGTTACAATTATATTGTAAAATCTAAACGACTTTTTAGATACTACAAAAATGCATAAAAAATGTTCGTACAAAAGTTTAAGGCAATCGAGCGTCGCAACACTGATGTAACAGCCATCATCACAACGACGTCGATGAAATGCATACATTGATGTCGTGGATTTCCGCTGAACTACAATTATACTATAATACAATTGTAGATTAAATTTAGGGGGAGACGCTTAAGGGTGATTAGCACCCTCATAATTTAAGCTATGTGTGGACAAACTGTAAAAATGATGGGTTTCAATACTTCTTTTTTTTCTTTAAAATTGCACCACTGAATAAAACCACCGCATTAAATCTTATATTATTTTATTATGACGAATCGTAAGTGACAATAATATCGTTAACCTTTATGCGACGACGTACAAAAAAACAGTGCGCGGGTGCGGGGTCGCGGTCGTTTTCCCCACCGTCTGCGAACACGCGGGCCGGAGCTAACCGACGCTGCCGCCGCCGCCGCCGCCGCTATAATTAATCTAGTGCTGATGAGGCCCGATAGGCTATTTATGGGTCGGTGCACAGCTGCTTCTCCGGTGGTACACGACGACCGTCGGTCGCCGTCTCGGCGTCTCCTCTATATAATTTAATATCCTGTCCGACCGTATTAGACAGCCAAGACGCATAGCAATCCGTGCACGACGTCGTTCAGCGTACGCGATCTCGTAGACGTTTTCCGGAAGGAAAAGATTCGTTACCTACCCCACAATCCACCTCAGTGGTTGACGATTGGATGACCAACCCCAAGGCCTTCTTTTTGAGTAGACATGGGTAGAGTTTATGCAGAAATCCCGATGTCCCGAAAATCATCATCGGAACTTTGATATGCCCCGTGACTAGTTCGTTATCGTGTATATTATAATTATTATTTGTATTGCAAATATACCTAATTTCAAGTTTGATGATTTATAGTATATTTCTGTTATCTCCCGTTTTCTTCAAATTTACTGTCAATTTTTAAGTTATAGTCTTTATTATTTTTTTTTTTTTTTAATCAGCTTTAAGTTTTTACATAAAAAAATAATAGGGCTTTTTATTATAAAAATTTGATAAAATTTTGATAGCTATGAACTGTAAGTATTCTGAATACTTAACCTTTGTCAACTTATGTTTGCTATTCCAGCTCATAATACAAATGATTTCAATGCACAATTAATAATCAATTTAAAAATTTTAATGTCTTGAATTTAAGTAGATA